CAAGCGGCTGTCGTGAGAGTTGGGGGGGGGGGGGAAGCGTCGCGTTGCTGTGGCGACTCAAACGTTCCAACATTCCTCTTCGGAACGCGGAGGCGGCCAGCGCGCGCCCCCTGGGAGCGAGGCGCGCGCAAGGCTATAGGGCTGCCTGCGCGCGGGGCTAAGGGGAATGCTTCCCCGGGCGATGCTTGGGGGCGGAATGCAGGCGTGCCCTGGGGACCTGCCCAGAGCCGGCTGCATGCAACCCGCGTGCGTGCTGGGGCCGGACTGTAGAGCTGGTGGGAGTAACATGCCTATCTTGTGTGGGTACCAGATGTGGCACCTGCAGCGTATAGGCTATAGGGCTGCCTGCGCGCGGGGCTAAGGGGAATGCTTCCCCGGGCGATGCTTGGGGGCGGAATGCAGGCGTGCCCTGGGGACCTGCCCAGAGCCGGCTGCATGCAACCCGCGTGCGTGCTGGGGCCGGACTGTAGAGCTGGTGGGAGTAACATGCCTATCTTGTGTGGGTACCAGATGTGGCACCTGCAGCGTATGGAACGCCCATGCAGGGATGCAGACATCCACAGAAGGGTGTGAATACAATCATAGAAATGTAGGGCTGGAAAGGTCCTCAAAAAACCCAAAGATTACTCCCCAAATATGCATCCTTCCACTTGCCTTTTTTTTTTTTTTTTTTTTGGAGGGGGGAAGAAGGGAGTTGAAGCTTCCAGCCCAGAGAGATTATTTGCTGATTAGGCAATTTCTAACATGTTTAGACTTTGGAAAAACACCGATTTTTTTAAATCTTTTGATACATCTAAACTTTTGTCCACATATATTACACAAGGGCTATGTCTAGATTGGCATGATTTTCCGTAAATGCTTTTAACGGAAACGTTTTTCCGTTAAAACTATTTGCAGAAAAGAGCGTCTAGATGGGCATGGATGCTTTTCCGCAAAAGCACTTTTTGCGGAAAAGCGTCTGTGCCAATCTAGGCGCGTTTTTGCACAAGAAAGCCCCGATCGCCATTTTTTGCACAAAACAGTTTTTAGCTGTCTACACTAGCCCTCTTGCGCAAAAACATTTCCGGAAAAGGGCTTTTGCCCAAACAGGAACGTCAAAGAATTTGCACAAGAAGCACTGATTTCGGACAGTAGAATGTCAGTGCTTTTGCGCAAAATCAAGCGGCCAGTGTAGACAGCTGGCAAGTTTTTGCGCAAAAGCAGGTGCTTTTGCGGAAAATGCCAGACTAGACGCAGCCAACTAGTTTGGTCTAGAAAGGGGTTACCAAACAAGTCAAGGCAGACCCATACCCAGGAATTTCCATGGGGAGGTGCTTTTTTTTGTAAATGTGGACAACAATTTTTTTTAACTATAAAGGAGTTCAAAACAGGGATGTAAGCGAGTAGTCAACTAGTCAAATAACCAATAAGCCTAGGCTTTTCAGTTAGTCAAGTGGACTATTCGCATTCCCCCCTTACTGCCTCTCTATCAGAGGCAGTTAAAAGCCAGTTCCCCCTAGCACCATCTCTGCAGTGCTATCCGCTTCACCCCCTGCACTGCTGCCTCTCTGAGAGGCAGCACCACGTGAGGGATTGAGGAGAGGCTGCTACAAAGCAGCCTCTGCCCGCAGAGGGCCCAGGCTCACCATGGGCAGAGGCTGCTCCAGAAGCAGCCCCAGTCCATGGGGGTTCCATCCTGGCTCATTCTGAATCCAGGATAAGGATGTTAAAATGAGCCCCAGTAGGGGCTCTTGCACATTCCAAAGGAGGAATGCAGAACTCCATGTACAGCCCAGGGCCAGCAGGAAGTCCCACTGACTCTGGGCTGCACACGGATGCCTGCTTTGAAATGCACAAGAGTCCCCAATGGGGGCTCTTGTGCATTTCAAAGCCATGGAGCCTGGGGTCAGTGGGGGACTCCCATTGACCCTGGGCTCCACGTGGCATTTTCCCAGAACCCAGACTCCCCAGCTGATCCAGGGTTCTGGGGAAATGCCACAGGGAGCCCAAGGTCAAAAGCCGGAAAAGAGCGTCTACACTGGCCCCGATCCTCCGGAAAAAAAGCCCTTTTCTGGAGGATCTTATTCCTACTTCGAAGTAGGACTCCCCAGCTGATCCCGGGCTCTGCGCGGCACTTCCCCAGAACCCAAAAACAAGTAAAGTTATACATGCACTTAAGTGTTTTGCAGGATTAGGGACTTTGTTTCCAACTTCTAAATCTTATTAAAATACAATACTTGACTAGTATCATTTTCCAACTTATTAAGCAATTCCTGTGCTCATCACAAGGGAATTACATATTTGTAAAATGGGGGTTCGGTGGAATATGAGCCAAGATTAATATGAGCCACCATTCTATTAAGATGTGATCCATTTAATCAAGAATGTTGGAGAATCCCTGATCTAAAAACTTCTGACAACCATTCTATTAAGATGTGATCCACTTCATCAAGAATGTTGGAGAATCCCTGATCTAAAAACTTCTAATGTGTTGAATATATTAGTGAGAACTACTGCAAAGAACTATACTGAATGGGTAGGTGGAATATTTTTAATGATCTGATTGCCTCTCCACTAGCCTTAAGAGGACAAAGTCATAGGGAAATGAATGGTGTAGTTTTTTTCCAAGATTACCTGTGTCATGTATCAGGGTCCTACATTTTGTCCTCCTTTTGAATGAGCAGCAATTACACACTCCACGGATCTCCAAGATTTACAGAAATCTCAAGAATCTAGCAGAAGCAAGAGACATCCATACAGAGATCTTCTGCCTCTTCACTGGTTCCACAGCTCCATCCTGTCTGGTTCTCTGGCAGCAAAGCTCTTTTTAAGCTGCACTGCCAAGACTCCTCCATCCTCATTTATCCTGGAGCCTACCCCACAATACCTCAGAGGGCTCTGCAGAAAAATTAACAGCTGCAGACGGTATTACATTTTGAGGATCTTTTCTATTGGTTTTCAAAATGATCTACATAAGATCTAAGCCCTCACTCTGCCACCCTCTACTCTCAGCATGTATTCCCAATCACATAGCCAGCCCTCTGCAGCATCTTAGGATAGGAGCAGGCAGTCATGAAGTAACTTAACATTTCTTATAGCTGCTGTCCTATTGCAACCTGGGTCCTTGCCAGCTCTTTCAATAGCTCCCTGCTGGCTTTTGCCACTGCTCAGCCAGGTCTTGCCAGAGCTGTGCACCAGGGCACACCCGCTCACTTTCACCTCTGGGAGCAAGGTTGAACATAGCTGACGGTAAAGATCCAAGTGCAGAAGACTACTATTGAAGAGTCTTGCCCTTAGTATGACAAGAACCATTATGAACCTCTGCAAGTTTCATGAAAGCATTGGCATAACTACAATGGTACATATGGTGCAATCTTACCAAGGCTCAAACAGAGTTAAAAATGCTCGGATCTAGACACAATTCAGGCCCGTATGCAAGGGGGGTGCAAAAAGTGCAAACACCCCCCTCCTGGTCCCCTAAATAAGCATGGTTCCACTAGCTGGGGGAAGGCTGGATCTGATTTTCTCCTCCCCCCGCCGCCCGCAGGAGCAAGGCTGGGGGTGGGGCCGCCTGGTCCCCTAAATAAGCATGGTTGCACTAGCTGGATCTGATTTTCTCCTCCTCCCGCAGGAGCAAGGCTGGGGGTGGGGCTGGAACTGGGACTCACTCCTGGGCTGACTGGAGGGGCAATGGGAAATCAGCCCCAGTCTTCTCCCAGCTAGACAGAGCATGAGGGAAGGAAGCTTGGGTAGTGTGCCACTCCTGCCTTCCCCAAGCCCGCTGCAGCATGCTTACTTGGGGAACCATGGGGGAGGGTTGCATTTGTACCCTTGCAGTCCACATTTACAAAAAAAGCATCCCCCCCCCCACAAACAGAATTTCCAGCATAAAAGCCTGCAATTATGTACTTTTAAAAACATTGATCAGTCCTGTGGCACCTTGGAGATTAATGTGTGTACTAGGTCATGAGCTTTCATTGGTAAACCCACTTAATCAGATGAGTTGAAATGGAAATTACAGAATCCAGGACATATATAACAGCAAAAGAAGTTACTAGAGGTGATGAAGCTAATTAAGTCAGGCTGAATGGTTCTCACTCCTAGCATGTGATTTGGAAGTGCAAATATCAAAGGCAGGTATAAAAGTATCAAGTTTTAAGCTAGAGCTTATTTCTTTCACCAGCAGAAATTGGTCCAAGAAAAGATATTACCTCACCTACCTTGTTTCTCTAATGTCCTCAGACCAAAAAAACTACAACAATTTGGCAAACATGATCTTAATGCTGGCATTTCCTCTTTTGGCTCTGCAACCATAAATACTTCAATGCAGGATTCTTTGATCACATGATGTACCATGTTAAAATACTTTAAATAGTATCTTCTGTTCTGACAAAGGTGTTAATAAAATGGGTGTTGTTAATTACAGATTACAAAAACCTTGCAAATAGGTGTACTCAGGGGATACACAAATGGACAGTTTTGCAAATTGGCCTAGGTTTAATTTGTGGCCCTTGATTATCAGAAGCAAAGTCCAAAGTTGTGGGGGAGGTGTTAGCTAGGATGACATAAATGTATCCCTGTCGAGCAGATGAAGAGGGGAGGAGATGGGATTGTTAATGGGTCTTTTGCTATGTATTCTAACTAGGTATGTTAAAAAGCTGGTAATTTGGAAACATGTAACCAGTATGCTCCTACACTTCAGTTAGTCTATAAGGTGCCCCAGGACTCCACGCTGCTTTTGCAGATTCAGAATAACACGGCTACCCCTCTGATACATGTAACCAGTGAAATTTTCTGGGGTTATAGGCACCTTCAGCATAGGGCAGCGGCCAGTTTCCCAGGAGCTGGTGTACCTCACGAAGGGGCTTTTAATTCACTAGGTGCTGGGTGCCACACCCCGCACTAATAGAGACAGCAGCGCGGAGCAGTAGCTGGTCTCCGGGAGCTGGCTTTTACAACGACTTCCACTCCCACCCGGTGTTACAAAAGCAGCAGCAACCAGCTCCCCAGGCCCGGGGCTGGAACTGTTCGCCCGGTGCTACAAAAGCAGCAGCAGCCCGCTCCCCAGGCCCGGGGCTGGAACTGTTCACGGTAACCAATAAACCAGATTCATCAGTTCACCATGTAAATGGCTGCGCCTCCTACATCCCCAATGAATGTCGGGAGTGGGAGGGGCTGGGTTGGCCCATTTCCTCCGGGTATTAAAGGCTCCAGCCCCGCAGGTCGCCAGGGCTGCTCAGCCTCGCACCGCAGGGGTCTGGACTCACGTCTCCCGCGAGGGGCTTTTATTCCCCATAATCCTCCCCGCTAGGCAACCTGGCCGCGCCCCCGCGCTCCTCCAACCCGAGCCGGCCCGGCGTCGCTTCCCTCACGTGACTCCCAGGGGGCGGGAATGAGCGTCATGTGATCTCACTAACACGCGCGCACACCCCCCCCCACCTACTCCCGGCGCGTCTGTTGCCGGAAGTGACGTTAGTCCTGATTTCCGGCCAGGCTGGTAACGGGCCTGGGCGACGGCAGGGGCCGATCGGGCCGGGGG